AGGAAGAGCCATAAAACATAAAATAACTGGTCAATAAACGAAACAGATAAAGCAAAACGCTACGCTTGCAAGCGCAAGCTAATGCAACTCACCTGCGATGTTTTGACGATTGTGTTTTTACGTCATGCATGAGGAAGTCAGTGATATTTTCCATCGACCAATCGCTCAAAAATCTTGCTTTCCTGTTCTGTTCAAAACTCAGAGACGTCAGGAGATCGTTGGTAGACGCTCCAATGATAGAAATGTCTTATACGTAATCGTTTGTTTCGCAGACTTTCAGCTATTACGAATCCAAATACAGAAGAAAACATCAATAATTAAATTACATCGATCAAGAAGGTACACGCGCNTTCAAATGTTAGGTGGTTTGAAGATAATCAATCCAAAGTTTTGGTTTGCAAAAGAAGGAAATCACAACACATCACAGAAGATGGCTCAAAACAGCGCAATGCGTTTGTAATTTATAATTATTTTAGTATGTTGTTACATTAAAGGATGAAACAAAGTAAGATGCTTTGTAAAATGTAGTTTAACTACTGCAAAAAGCTTAAAGGAAGAGCCATAAAACATAAAATAACTGGTCAATAAACGAAACAGATAAAGCAAAACGCTACGCTTGCAAGCGCAAGCTAATGCAACTCACCTGCGATGTTTTGACGATTGTGTTTTTACGTCATGCATGAGGAAGTCAGTGATATTTTCCATCGACCAATCGCTCAAAAATCTTGCTTTCCTGTTCTGTTCAAAACTCAAAGACGTCAGGAGATCGTTGGTAGACGCTCCAATGATAGAAATGTCTTATACGTAATCGTTTGTTTCGCAGACTTTCAGCTATTACGAATCCAAATACAGAAGAAAACATCAATAATTAAATTACATCGATCAAGAAGGTACACGCGCCGTGACGTAGCGAAGTGTTAGTTACGGTTTAAATATAGAATGCACGCGACTTGATGTCGATGTATGTCAAATATTGCCCAGAATTAAAAAAAAAAATCCAAAAAAATCTCACACATTTTCCTCTTAACAGGGTTCGTAAAAAACTCTTTATGAGACATGGATTTTCCCGAGTCGCCATCTGCCCGTCACGCACCAAGCACGTGTACGTGATTGCACGCTACGGATTATAACAGGGGTTGTAACACCTAACTTCCGTTTCACGTACGGGGCCGACAGAGACTAGTCCGGAATGACAACTGTTCAAACAGGTAAGGCCGGCTTTGAGCTAAACAAGACAGCAATCTCCTCTTCCACTTCAAAAATGTTGTGTCTTTTCAATCCCAGTTTTACGGACACCCGCTTAATACGGACACAGTTTACTTTTTTTTCCTGGGGAAAGAAAGCCCTTGCAATTTCTCAATGGCCCCCTCAGGGTATTAACGGGGCTTTGGCTGTTTTATCGAACGGTACAGTCCGCATTTCAGCCATCTCCGCGAGTCGCAAATCTTCGAAGAGGTGGCTGATATTCAGGCTGCTAACTGTACTGCGTTCAATAAAATACCAGTTTTAATAATCAAAATTCAAACTTGGCTACGAATGATTGGCGATAGAAATGACCTTGGATCGTCTGATGCTAAATTGCTAAACAATATGCTAGCGAGCTAAAGCCGGTATTGAAATGAGAAATTTTTTCAACTTGAAAAAGTGAAAGTACCTACCTGCACTATTCAATAGAGTTAGACATTGTTAGAGCTCTCTCACTAAAGCCGGGTAACTTGTTGGAATATATGGAGGAAAAAATCGCGAGCCAAGAAGACAGAGTTGAACATTTTTCCAGTGTACACAGAGTGTAGACACACCGGGTTTTTACTTGACCAAAGTACAACCACGTGGGTCATGGCGCCATAATTAGCATATGAAATTAAATCAATATTGCTGTGTCTGTCGTAACCGAACTAAAAACACAGAATAGGAACTGACTCATAAAAAGATGAAGCCAATATTTCAGTATTATTTAGCGCGTGACGGTTTATAGAAGTAGGAATTATATTTCAACATTTATGATCAAATGGCATTCTCGTGTTCAAATAGCAGTTCTAGTATGCGGCTGTACATTACTCATTAAAACCTCGTTACTGATGTTTATTGTTATTCATTTTTAATATGTGACTGATGTATGGAGTGATAAACTGTTAGACTACAGACGTAGTTAATCGATAAAAATGACTCTTGTCGATATCATCGATATCAATCTATTTAATCCGCCGATTGATATCGATTAATATCGGAACTCGATAGAACTCGAAGTCACAGAAAAATAATTTATCGAGTATTATCGATCAGCAACTGCATCGATTACAATCGAAAGTAATCGATAACAAGCAATAATCTTGAAGTGAATGTTCTGAACATGACGATGATATTTGGCAAGCAACACCCATGAGACCATATATGAGACCGGCTTAAGCTTAACACATTTTATCAAGGATCATCAAAACTTAATCCTCTTTAGACAGGCTTTTTGTCTTCCGGTATGACTCGACTTTCTTTTTTGACCACTCAGAAAATAAAATGAGCGCTGGTAATAACAGTAAGTCACACAAAAGATAGGCAGTTTGAATCAAAACTTGTCCGCCATATTTGACATGCTGAAAGAAGTAAATACTCTATGTATGGGTCATGTAGGCTCTGACATCCTGCGGGCTCAGGCAAGATTTGTGGGGACCAGTGTGTTTTTCCTGTTGCTAATAGTTCGATCAATAAATGAGATATTAAAAAAGACAGAAAAGACGTTTAAAAAATATCCACACTACGTAGCAATAACTTGCCAACAACAGTTTGCGCGGCAGGCGTTTTTTTTTTTAGTTGAGGCCTCTAGCCGGGTCCGGCTGTAGCAGAAAGAAAACTAGAGTCAACGAACATCCTTGCGACTGTTTTTAAGTTACTAAGTCATTAACTTCCGACCTGGTAACAAATTAAGCTGAGAAGCTCCTAGTACAATATCAGACAGAGATCACAGCGAGGGTGGAGCTCTGGGGCTTTTACACACACAAAGACATTCACCGGAGTGGTACAGTTACAAAGTTTTATACCAGAAGGCTCCGGCCGGCTCCAGCCCCTTACTAGCCCCTTCACTGTATATGCCATTTTTGGTAGAGAAGGTACCCTTTTCGTATACCGTTCTATTGACAAATGTCACATGACCCCTTTTCACATTCCCAGTTTATCTGGCCGTTCTTTTTAACCGTGCTGTAAATGCCATCACTGTCTTTTGAATGTAAATAAATAAAAAAATTAGAACCTTTTCTCTACTTTTTCACTACTTTTTCACAGCCATAACATGCAGACTGAAATGACAGATTCCGTGGAGTAGTAGCTGGTAGTCTTCAGATTTAACCAAGAACCTTCATCAAAGAGACATTCGATGATTCCACATCGCCGCATATGCTACACAGCCTGGCTGGTTTGAAAAAGCAGAAGTCTAAGACTAAGCCAAGTGCAGTTTTGCAATAGGCGTTTTGAAGGTACGCATAAGATATGGGATCGAAACTGACCAATAATAAAGTTAGGTGCTTTTGCGAGGAATATTCTTATTCCAGTAAAGACACTTTTAAATGAAAATGTATATTACTTAATTTTATTTACTTATTTATTTTTCAAAATGTGGAGGGGCCTGTCCCCCGGGGCCTTGGTATAGACGTAGAACATGAAGATATTTTTGGGCACATGCGAATACTTCATCAAATTAAACTCATACTGGAAATAATTAAATCATATCAAGCATGATAAAACCAAAGAGACATAATTGGGATACTGTTTAGGTTTATTTAAAGATGAAGCAAACAGCAAATACAACATAATTATTATTATTATTATTATTATTATTATTATTATTATTATTATTATTATTATTATTATTATTATTATTATTATTATTATTAACATACAAACATTGTGATAATAAAAAACTTTCTTCAAACTTTTCTTCAAAGTCCATAATATTAATTTCCTTTTTCAATTATTTCACGTCTTTGCCAGTTCTACTGACTTCTGACAAAATATAAAATAACGTACGAAGCAGTTGACGGCGCTTATCAAAACCGTTCCATTAAATATTTGTCTTTATACAAAATATCAAGTTATAATTATCAATTTATAACTCCTTTCCATAACCATGCAGCCATTTAATAACAAGAACCAGGATGAGGAAAAGGAGATCCTAGCTTTAGATCTCATTCGTGACAAGTAATAAGAAGACAAAATGAATCGTTAGTGTTATTTATTACTAGGGAGTTATTGTTTATCCTTATTCGATGGAGACCAAGAGAGCGCCCTGATTCTCAGAGCATAAATCCAGGAACATCGGAACAATCCGAAACATTCGGAGCTAGACTACGAGCAATCTCTCTTTACGCGCACGTGAACGTCAAAAAAAAAGCCTCGTGCCTCCGAGTGCCTCTCCCGTCTCGCGCCTTCCATCGTGCGCGTGACCATTTTCATGTCTCGCGTTTTTCCCTCGACGGGCTGAGAAATAAGAAAGACTGCTGGTAGTCTACCCGGGAGCAACCCGTAAAACTTGGCAATGGGTAAAATGATAAAGACAAAGAAAAATCCTAACCCTAATCTAACTATCAATCGTTTTTGAGCGATGTCTGATGAAATAGGGCGGTGGTTTACTTTGCTTTTTATGTAAAAAATTGTACTATATTACAATCATTAAAAAATGTTTTTATCATTTCTTCGGAAAAGTAAAAAAACTTGATTATTTTCTGACTACGGTCTTCTCGTCCATGGGTCCAACGAAAATCACCATACTTTAGCCTTTAAGCGTCTTGATTGATTGGCATCAGGAAAAACGTGCGCAGTTCGAGGTCCTAAATTAATGCAAAAACTCCAGTTACTCCCCGAAACCTGGGTTTACAATCTGTCAGTCATTGGAGAAGTTTAATGATCTCTTCACCGCTGTCTTTTCCTTGAAACGCTGTGATAATTTAAACTCTCTCATTACCATGAGTTGTCCTTTGGTATCCACGAACGTAAAAACAGAGGCCGTGTTCATTTCAAAAGTTATCTATAACCATAAAAACTAAAACATAGCTTTCGCTGGAGAGAGACTCGTCATATTTGTTATCGTTTTCTTCTCCCGTTTCGAGGGATGTTATTCCCTGGGACATTATTTTCCACTTTCCACTGGTAATCAGTTCCTCGCATTTGAGTCTGAAGCTGTCGTGGGGAAGATCAAACTGAGCTGCGTTCATAGTGAAGCAAACAATTCCACCTGAAAAAACAAACAAACAAACAAACAACAACGAAAAACAATTTAACACATGGACAGAGCAAATATCTTTTGAGTACCACAAACCAGTCAGAAAAACCTACAGACCTAATAATGGTAATTTTGACCACTTGACGGCGTTTAGTTTTTCCTTTTGATATCTTACCCTTGCCTTCGAATGCGCTCATAGACAGACGGAACTTCCATTTTCGCGGGTAAAAGTGCTCCAACTGATGGCTCCTGATAGCCCTGTAATCAGGCGTGGACGACTACTTCAACCTCGCTGGGACTCGTCAGCGCGCCGCTGCTGGCTCAGTAATAGTCCCTTTCCCATTTGTGCTGCTGAACTCATTGTATGATCATGACAATTTACAGCATATGGGATTTGGTCTCGGTTTGAGTCTAGTGCTCTCTTGAGTCCAAAATAAACGTGTAAGGCTGGACCAACTAACCAGCTGTGAAAGAACTCAGCTTCGTATTCAGTTTTTTATACTTTATATAATGGTAACAGGACTGAGCAGAGTCCAAATAGGTCTGTAATCATACAAGTGATTTATAAAATCGGACGACTGCCTACTTGGAATCCCGATTTGTTTAATAACGAATTGGACGACAAAAATTTTAGTAAAAATTTGTCCAGTGCGTGGGCGATGGCGCGTATTGTTCAATTATACTGTCCTATTAATGTTGAAATCAGGACAGCTTATAGCCAATAAGTTTTGAGAATTTTTGTCAGTATAGCAATGATAAAAGAAGAAATCGAACAGTAACAACCAAAGGAATCTACTGAAGCTTTGTTTCTTTACCTGGCTTAACAAGACGCAACATTTCGTCCAAGGCATCAGGGTTAACTTCATTGGGAAAAACGCCATCCGCGCAAATCACGGCATCAAACGCACCCGTCGCACAAAGCGTTGACTGGGCTTTGAGTGGCGTGTAAAGTAGGTTTCTGTAGAGGCCACTTCCTTCAGCATTATCCAGTCTCTCTTTAGACACCGTTAATGCGTCAATGTTGTTGTAACCCAGTGAACGCAAGTAGAATGCTGTTAAACCTTGTCCTGCACCTGCATCCAGAATGCGTACGGATGATCTCTTTTTCTGAAACGCCTCTGTGACGGCTGCATCAAAGTAATCCGTGCAACTGACAGAAAGAAAGAGAAGGCTATCAGAGACAGAGGCAAAGACTTGGTTAGACGTTCGCCTGGCTCTTCATACCAAAAAATTAATATACTTCAAGTCACAGGCACTGCAAAAGCACCATTTGAGCGCTAATATCTAAGCCTGGTTCAGGCGCTGAGATCACGGGGATATAAATGGCGTAAAGAGAAGCAAGAAGGAAAAAAACAAGCGAGGGGGTAGAGGCGTAGAAAGAAAAGAAACGAAATAAAATTTTATGTTTAAACTTTAGCCACAACGAGCCTCACCGGTTTATTTCAATGACCCACGTAAACTTATTAAAACACTTCAAACTGAACTTAACCCATTCCACCAATAAGGAGATAATGATATAGGTCAACGTTTTGGCCCTGGCCTTTTAATATTTTTTCTACTTTCTCATTTTTTTCTCACTTTTTGGGAAGTATTATTAATATCTATATGGAATTCGAGTTTACTGGGCATAAATAGCCTTCTACGCAACTGCACTACTGCACTGTACTTTGTACAGTCGCGCAGCACTGTAAAATAGTCGTAATCCCTGATATGGGCATCACGAGTGGAAACACCCGCATGGCGGTATACCCCAAGGGACTAAGATGGGGGTGACACTGTTCTTAAGTTATGATAAATAGACTTTTACGCGACGGCATGGAATATAAGAGCTAAAGACTAGCTAAATACGTAGATGATACTACAGTTTTAGAAGTCCTACCACGTCACTCCATTAGCGTTTTGAATTTGGCTGTTAGAGACACATAATTTTTGTATTGAGCAAGAGCCTAATAACATCGGAAATTACCAATTAAAGCGTGTTTCGACCTTTAAATTACTTGGTGTAAAAATTAGGCACGATCTTAAATGGAACGACCACGTTGATTATATTTATCATGATAAAGCCGCCAAATGATTGTATACGTTAAGGGTGCTTAAATGAGCTGGTGTAGCTGGCAGCAATATTATCAATATTTATAAGTGCTGTGTCAGAATAGATCAATATGCTGTCCCAGCATGGCAAGATATTCCAGCGTACTTATCTGTCAAGTTCGAGTCTATACAAAAACGAGCCCCTAAGATTGTTTCCCAGACTATAGTTATGATGAAGCTCAGTACATGTCCTTCTCTGGCCTTGAGAGTCTTGAGAAAAGACGATTTGCTATAAGTCGCAGGTTCATCTCTGAATGGAGGTTACTTGTCATGAAGTTATTATTGTACCATATGATCTTAGATCTGGCCATGAAAAGTCTTTCCGCCCTTACACTAGAACCAAAAGAGCGAATGATATTATTACCTTTAAATTTTTAGACTAGTTTCATAATATTTTGTATATTATAGCATCGAAATTGTTAATTTTAGCACTTGACAATTCAGTTGTATTTTACTGCAAAGAGTGGAATAAACGATGTTTTTTTATTTATTTTTATCAATTGAGCTTTTTTGCAAAATTACGAGATAAAAACGATGGAGTTATGATGTGCCTTATATAAGCTCAGTTAATTCCTAGCGTACGCGACCATACAATTCCTCAACCACTTTCTCGGGTATTTGTCGACAATTTGTAATTTTTCCTCCGAAAAGCTGAAAAACCACTCGGACCAGCCCATACCAACCATATCGAGGCTTTTGAGGTCTCAATAAACACATCCCACACAGTGAATAAATGAACGAAACAGTTTTAACTCTAAGAAAAAAAAACTAACTGCAACTGAGTGTTAAACGAAAATCAACTAAAACAGAGCAGTATCCGAGACCTTACAGTTTCCGGATATTTCTGTTTGGATGGATCCCACTGTAGAAGGTCTTGACAGTCCACAATTTTACCTCCATCGCTCAAAACAAGAAAATCACTTTTCTTTCAAAAGTGTCACTTCACAAGTTAAACCTGTCTGTGTATTGCCACAAACAGGTTCATTCACGATGACATTTGAATCAAGGAGCCCATAGACCCATAATTATGGGCCCCTGCCAGAAGTCATTTCATTCTTGTTTTTTTATGTAAATATGTCAATCCTCCTGATGTTTAAAAAACAATAGCCCTTACTTGCAAAAGAAAATAACAAACTGAAGTAATTTAGGCGCAAGAAAAAACGGGGCGCGCGAGGGAGGCACGCGAGAGGAGAGGAAGCTCTGATGCTCTCGATCTTATCTCCAAAATGTCATGCAGTGCGCGTGGTCGTGATTACTCTTATTTACCGCTGGCTACTACGGGTTAATGGAGATTTCAACGCGGAGAGTGAACTTTTATTTCTTTTTAAAATAAGCTTATGCTTACGTTCTCTTTATATGCCATATGCGGAAACTCAACGATGATAAATGATTCCCCAACCCCGGGGGCACCTTTGATGGCAATTACGCTTCCCTGGGATACATGCACAAAAGCCGGAGGCATGATGGCGAGGAATGCTTGGAATTGACTCAGCTATGAGTCAAGGGCAAGAATTGCATTATGCCTGCAAGATGCGCGGCCACCTTGGCCAACCTTGGCCTTGGTTTTAACGCTGTCAGAATCCTAGGTTCCAATTTCACGTAGTAAACTTCACCTGTAGGAAACTTCCGTATTGGTGAGATCGATAAAATCTGCTCAGGTACTTGGGCTCTCGAATTGCCCGAAACTACTAAATTAGTACAGGTACTTAACATCTGCCTGCTCACTTCAAACTTGAAAAAAACTTTTTTGATCGCCACTTCATCCCGCCTTTTTGAAGGCCGTTTTCATTTCCAGCTGTGCTTTTGTACAAAAACTTGACAGTCAAAAACAGGACACCCGCAACAGACTGCAAGAAAAGCTTGAAATTGAAAAAAAAAATCCGATAGTCTTGCCTGTCAACCAGAGATATAAAAAGAAAAAATAGATCTTTGCGAGGCGTAAGCAATTTGCATTGAACTAATATTTTGCAAAAAATGTTAATCCAGCATACCGGGGTCAATAACTGTCATAACTGTCAGGCACTTCAGAAAATAATATTATTTTAAACCAATAATATTTACTGCCAGTCTTATCTTAAAATCGCAATATCCTCAGAAAGGAAAAACAAAAACCTATGAAACCAATTTGACCTTTTGGTTTTTCCAAGCACGTGTTGAAGAGCTTTTTTTCACTTTTATGGTATAGGTACTTGAATTGATGAGAAATGATGTGAGAAAAGAAAATACATCAGACTTGAACCGTCATAGTCTAAGTACGATTGATCAAACGACAATTCAAAGCCAATACACGTACATCATTTCTTCACGTCTTTGCTAGTTTGAGCAAACCGTATAAATGTTTACAGTCGAACATTCGAGTGCGACCACCTCTCGTAAGCGACCATTTCCGCGACTACCTATCCAAAATAAAAAAATTTTTCCCACTTAAATCATTAACAGTTTGGATCTTCTCGTAAGCGACCGCGAAAACTTTCTTGGATGACGGCCTTAGAATTTTCTACTGTTTTTATCCTCACAGTTCTGGAAACGGCCACTTATTAAAGTCATGGTTTGATCTATATACTCGTTGTATGTGCCGCACTACCAAGAGAATGTGATGTTAACTTTTCAGACTTTTAGCGACAACATGAAACTACACATATATCGTAACTCGCAGAAAATGTATATGTGTTTGGGCATCTTCCTCAAGAGACCCCTTGTGGTGCTATTCCTCGTAAGCGACCACGCGACATGACTAAAATTAGCATTTTGGATGGTAGCTTGTTAACCGTCCGTACGTGTGAATTACCTGTTGTCTGGAGTTATGGGCATTATAATAAGGTATCGTTGTAATGAAATAGAACTTTTAAACCATTAAATTCTCTTAGTATACAAAAGAATATTTTCCTTTAAATTCAAATGTTAGTTGGTTTGAGGATAATCAATACAAAGTTTTGGTTTGCAAAAGAAGGAAATCACAAAACATCACAGAAGATGGCTCAAAACAGCGCAATGCGTTTGTAATTTATAATTATTTTAGTAAGTTGTTACATTGAAGGATGAAACAAAGTAAGATGCTTTGTAAAATGTAGTTTAACTACTGCAAAAAGCTTAAAGGAAGAGCCATAAAACAATAACATAACTGGTCAATAAACGAAACAGATAAAGCAAAACGCGACGCTTGCAAGAGCAAACTAACGCAACTCACCTGCGATGTTTTGACGATTGTGTTTTTACGTCATGCATGAGGAAGTCAGTGATGTTTTCCATCGACCATTCGCTCAAAAGTCTTGCTTTCTTGTTCTGTTCAAAACTCAAAGACGTCAGGAGATCCTTGGTAGACGCTCCAATGATAGAAATGTCTTATACGTAATCGTTTGTTTCGCAGACTTTCAGCTATTACGAATCCAAATACAGAAGAAAACATCATATTAATTTAATGTAGCTAGTTCTTCCATGTGCGCGCGTGACGTAGCGAAGTGTTAGTTACGGTTTAAATATAGAATGCACGCGACTTGATGTCGATGTATGTCAAATATTGCCCAGAATTTGAAAAAAATATTCCAAAAAAATCTCACACATTTTCCTCTTAACGGGGGTTCGTAAAAAAACTCTTTATGAGGCATGGATTTTCCAGAGTCGCCATCTGCCCGTCACGCACCAAGCACGTGTACGTGATTGCACGCTACGGATTATAACAGGGGTTGTAACCCCTAACTTCCGTTTCAAGTACGGGGCCGATAGAGAGACTAGTCCAGAATGACAACTGTTCAAACAGGTAAGACCGGCTTTGAGCTAAATAAGGCAGCAAACTCCTCTTCCACTTCAAAAATGTTGTGTCTTTTCAATCCCAGTTTTACGGACACCCACTTAATACGGACACAGTTTACTTTTTTCCCTGGGGAAAGAAAGCCCTTGCAATTTTCTCTATAGCCCCCTCAGGGTATTACAGTCTGCATTTCAGCCATCTCCGCGAGTCGCAAATCTTCGAAGAGGTGGCTGATATTCGACATATTCAGGCTGCTAACTGTACTGCGTTCAATAAAATACCAGTTTTAATAATCAAAATTCAAACTTGGCTACGAATCATACGAATGAACGATCGAATGATTGGCGATAGAAATGACCTTGAATCGTCTGATGCTAAATTGCTAAACAATACGCTAGCGAGCTAAAGCCGGTATTGAAATGAGAAATTTTTTCAACTTGAAAAAATGGAAGTACCTACCTGCACTATTCAATAGAGTTAGACATTGTTAGAGCTCTCTCACTAAAGCCGGGTTACTTGTTTGAATATATGGAGGAAAAAATCTCGAGCCAAGAAGACAGAGTTGAACATTTTTCCAGTGTACACAGAGTGTAGACACACCGGGTTTTTACTTGACCAAAGTACAACCATGTGGGTCATGGCGCCATAATTAGCATATGAAATTAAATCAATATTGCTGTGTCTGTCGTAACCGAACTAAAAATACAGAATAGGAACTGACGCATAAAAAGATGAAGCCAATATTTCAGTATTATTTAGCGCGTGACGGTTTATAGAAGTAGGAATTATATTTCAACATTTATGATAAAATGGCATTCTTGTGTTCAAATAGCAGTTCTGGTATGCGGCTATACATTACTGATTAAAACCTCGTTACTGATGTTTATTGTTATTCATTTTTAATATGTGACTGATGTATGGAGTGATAAACTGTTAGACTACAGACGTAGTTAATCGATAGAAATGGCTCTTGTCGAAACCATCCATATCAATCTATTTAATCCGCCGATTGATATCGGAACTCGATAGAACTCGAAGTCACAGAAAAATAATTTATCGAGTATTATCGATCAGCAACTGAATCGATTACAATCGAAAGTAATCGATAACAAGCAATAATCTTGAAGTGAATGTTCTGAACATGACGATGATATTTGGCAAGCAACACCCATGAGACCATATATGAGACCGGCTTAAGCTTAACACATTTTANGATGTTTATTGTTATTCATTTTTAATATGTGACTGATGTATGGAGTGATAAACTGTTAGACTACAGACGTAGTTAATCGATAGAAATGGCTCTTGTCGAAACCATCCATATCAATCTATTTAATCCGCCGATTGATATCGGAACTCGATAGAACTCGAAGTCACAGAAAAATAATTTATCGAGTATTATCGATCAGCAACTGAATCGATTACAATCGAAAGTAATCGATAACAAGCAATAATCTTGAAGTGAATGTTCTGAACATGACGATGATATTTGGCAAGCAACACCCATGAGACCATATATGAGACCGGCTTAAGCTTAACACATTTTATTTTCGACTTCAGCAAGGTCAGCAAGTACTCCAGGCGCAGTCTTCATCACTTTCCATTTCTTTGTGTCTTTCGTTTCCTGGTTTGTTTCATCAGATATTCGCATGTCTATTCACTCCTGCGCCATCGACTGCATCTTGCATTTCTTTCCTTGCAATGTCGCTGACACTGGAATCCAATTCTAGCAATTCAGTACATACACGGGCATGGAAATACTCCACATACAGTCGTACTTGGTATGCTCCATGCTTATGGAGTCGCTACAAGCTAAAAACATACAACATAGTGTTAATGTGGAACTTCTCACGAATGACTTAAGTCTTTCCGATGATAATTGATAGTAATCGATAACATTCAATAAATCAATCATTCTCGATTTCTATCGGAAATCGATATTAATCGAAGTCACAACCTTTTTTCCTTTATCGATTTCTATCGATTGATATCGGAAATCGGTATACAACGATGATTGATATCGATTACTATCGATTATTATCGATTATCGGTTCATCGATTAACTTCGTCTGGTAGACTGCACTCTCGATCTATCTTCGCTGAAACTGTTTCCCAACGAGATGGTGGTCAAAATTGTAGGTCCCTTTGCTTAAACGTGCTAAAGTACAGTCTAAAGTGATAAAACACTCACGAGGGCTAGCAACAGATTGATCCTTTTAAGGAAGATTTCTAAACTGTTTTCTGTCTAGAAGCGTTGATTTCCCTATTGAAGCAAAAATTTTATCCTCCTCGTCTAGACTGTGTACAGCAGCCCACTCCCCCTTTTTTGACGGCTGTACACAGGCTAAAAACGTCAAGCAACATTTCCAAATAATAGTCGTAGCACAGCACAAACCCCATTTGCATTCTATTATGTGTGCAGACGTCTGCTGTTTCCGTAACTGTTCTATTAATTAAATTAAAAAGCGACGGCAGACAATTTCAGAGGGGGTCGGCCAAGGGCTTGGCTGTCGTCTCCAATCTTAAAGTGTACACCATGAAAATGTGGGTTACATTAGTGTAACCCATAAATATCAAATGACAACCTTTTTACTCTTGACATCTCTTTCCCTTTCTTCACGTTGTTTTTATTGCTAGTCTAATTTCTGATTACTAGTCTAATGAAACGTCTCGTGACAATCTGACTTTTTGAACCCTACAAAACCTATATTTTCTCGTGAGAAAACTTGCCCGTGACAAAGCCTTTTCTCGTGACAAAAAGTTTGCTTTACATGGCAAAACTTTTTCTCGTGAAAACACTTTTTGCTGTTGACAAATCTTTTGCATCACGTGAGGTTCTGAGTTAGACTCAGTCAAGCTGGACTTATGCATAATCCTTCCCACTTAAGATGCCGCCTTAAATAGCGATACTTCCTCTTGGCGCAGTAAACGAAATCTAAGGATCTATAGCACAGGAAAATATGACGGCAATAGGGTAGGTAGCCTGTGTAGAAGGCGCTTGGAAGTAATTGGCGCAAGAGAGGACGGGGCGCGCGAGGGAAGAGGGAGTGTCTGCCCGAGAGGCCCATGAAAATCGTTTCCCGTCCCCAATCCAATTACTTGGCTACCGTTACGTGATCTGTCAAAAATTTTGACAGAACTCGATTGACCTCGCACAAACAAAGTGTTGTGCATTTTTATCCTCGGTCTAAATATATCTGTTAATGTCTCCCTCGAGCGCCCAGTCCTTTCTTGCGCCATTAATTCCAAGGGTCTGCTACGCAGGCTATAGAGTAGGTAGCCTGCGTAGCAGACGTAATTTAACTTCGGTTGTTTTCGAATTTTCTTTCACCCTGATTGGCAAATCGACAATGGCTTTTATAACAAACCAATCATGGCGTGTAATCAAATCCTGGTACACAGGTGGGGACCCAGAACAAGAATTTCGCGCTGTTTCGCAGACTGACTTATCAGAGTTTGGTACGTCTGTGGCGCTGGCTAATAGGGTAAGCTGTGGACGAAGACGAGGAAGATTTGATAAGCATCAAACATATTTGGAATATTAGGCCACTGCATCGCGAAGCTCAATGTGCGCCTATTTTGGACCCCGTTGTTCAAAATGAGGATAATACTATATCCAGTAGCCTGCAAAACAGGCAATATTTTTTCGCGTTTTTCAGGTGAGCGAGAAGCACCAGATGCACGCGATAGGGGAATTTTTTCACGCCTTCCCACTTGAAGCTCACCTAAAACTGTGAAAAAATAACTCCTATATCTAGTAGATGAATAACTTTCCACTGGATAGTAGTTATTCGGGGCCCCCGGTACCTCGAAAGATGTTATAAAAGCCAAACTTTCAGCAAGGCTTTCTTTTCAAGTCCATGTAATGGTATCTTCAGTACAAAATATTTTCGAACCTTTTCTCCGAGATCCAACGATGATAGCACAAAGTGACACTATAAGCAATCTACGGGTGGTAAAATAATTGTGGATTGAAAAACCGGGCCGGCGGGGGCTCTCAAGATGCCCATCATCTTGCTTAGGGGTAAAGATTGCAGATTTTGATCTCAGTTGGGTGTTCAGGACAAAAAGCCATCAGTTATACCCAAAAAGACATCATTTAAGGTTGTGTGGAAAGAATTATTTTTATAAAAAGAAACAAACGCCGCCATACTGTGTGGGAGTATGGTCTTCTTTGGAGGTCATATGTATAAAGCCTGAACCACCCTGCCAGCCGAGCCTCCTTTTATTTGCCTTCATGAGTGAGGAGGAGTGAAAAGACGCTCTGCCTTAATCACGTCAAACCTTTGAAATCGCCGCAAACAAACTTGTCGACTATTTAATCTTGTTTTCTCTCGTCAAACCGGTCTTTTCGAGTGCGAGCATTCATTCATTGACATGAGCGATGGCTATTAGGCCTGGGTTCGAAACTATATCCTAGCAACATGACGCGCATGCTCAACAAAGATCTTACTTGATTCAAGCAGTCTTTCTAAAGTACGCTAAAATCGAGCCAGAGACATAAAGGCTCTTCTGGCAGGGTGGCCTGAGACATGCCCAGATCAGTTGGTCCCCCTTGGGAAGATTAATTCTAATTTCCGACGAGCATGCGCGTCTCTTTCACAAGGGAATCCCCTCGGGGAATTTTTAAACGCAAGATAGTTTGTCAGAAGTCAAATTCTTTAATGCAATGTAAATAACATTTTACAAACCAAGTTAAATTTAAACGTTTTCACGTGGCTTTCCTGGGGTTTGGAGACGCAGTCTTTTCTCTTTACAATTTCTAACTAAATTATATTCAAATTCGTTTACGTTAGTCGTAGTAAAATTCCTTGGTATAACGCAGACTACAAAGTCCTTGATAATCTTTACAAAATCAGAGGAAAGAAACCTACTTAAGAACAACTTAAACTGTAGTCTGAGAAAACAGCCGACATTTGGCGACGTTACCACTGGTTTCCCCGCCAAATGACGTCTGAGAAACGAGCGTAGAAATTCCATACTGATGACAGGTCACTACCCAGATCTGGGTAGTGCTTCTGATTGGTCGTGTCGCGAGGGAAATTTGCTTTAACCAATTAGAAGCACTTCCCAGATCCGGGTAGTGATACGTGATCACTTTGCAATTCTTGCGCTCGTTTCTCAGACGTTTTTCGCCGGAAAACCATGCAGTTGTGGCGTCGCAAAATGACGGCATTTTTCGCAGGCTAGTTTAACGAGAAGGTGGTGAAAGAAAGAAACAGTGATTCTCTCGCGCAGTTCTCATAGTGCGGAGAAGTCAGTTGTGTCTTACACGATGCGGCAGCGAATCTTTACGCGCTTTTCTTAGTCTTCGCTTTATTCTTCTTTTTCCCTTTACGCTGAACTCTTTTGCCTTGAACTACAGTGAGTTTGTCCTTTATGTATCCTCTCCTATTATTCTGCACAGCAATACAAAAAGAAAGCACATTTAGATTGCAAATACCCGCTCCAGGAAATATATCTACGCTATCTGTTTGAAAACCTTTTAATAATCACCTCTTCGCATCAATTGAATTCCAACACAATGGTCCAGTTTTATTGTTTAAGACTAAAAAATTGTAAAGGGTAAATTGGATCGCACATTTTCGGATTTTGGGGGTAAGAAAGTATTTACGGTTAGCAAACGTATCACGATGTTTGTACTAAGAGTGAAAAGTAAAGTGTTCTTCATTAAATTTAAACTGAACTGAATGTGTCAGATCATTTTAGGTTGACCTATTTAAAGGATTGATAGGTTGGATACATAAATAGAAAGTGACTAAGTTGGGATCGCGGAAATTACGTTTGCCCAAAACTGACTAAGAAGGGGTCTATAATTGGTCACAGAATAGACTATAATGGAGTAGGGGCTCTGAGAGGCCAACGGGCATACCCAGCAAAAATTAACCCAAGTACCCACCTCGGGGTGTGGGTAAGGACCCATAGTAATAACTTCAGCACAGAATTGACCTAATACAGTAATATCCTTGTGACATAGCTCCTTTAATTCTAAAACAACAATGAAGTCTACTCAGCGTACTAAATAACAACACTTACCCGCCGAGGAATATATTTACTTTTAGCTTTTAAATTGGTTGACCTCAAAGTCCCACTACTCTTCACTCGGTTTGCATAATCTTTAACCCTGTTGAAGTAGAAGCCGAACAAAACTTGTTATTCTTTCTTTGTTAGAAGAGAATTGATCATTTGGTGAATAACTTAAACGTGTTATGAATCATATGGTTGGTATATTTTCAGTTTAGCTTGCCTCTCGGACCAAGAGTGCCTAAAACCTGATGTCATCGATTAAAAAAATAGTTTGGCTAGAATAACGCTTTACTTGTAGCAATTTTAATGACAATTTTGCCGTACTCCTATTCTATTTTTCCGATGGCTGTTTTTCGAATACCTTGCATGGCAGCAAACTAGTTTCCAAGGTCCTTTAATCGTCCCCACGAGTAGAAGAGAACACTGGGAACGAGGCTGGCATGGCAGGTGTTTAAATCGAAGGGGAAGCGACAATTGAATTCCATGGACTGCCTTCCTCCCTCCCTCCCGTCCCTTGCTATAACTTTAGGCTTATGTAATGGTTAGCTTCAAAGTCTTTACCAGGGTCTCTCCACTTCCTCGAAGAGAGACCCTGGGAACGAGGTTTGTTAGCTTGGGATGCCTGTTGATCGAACGCCGTCGTCAGGCCCTGGCGGGGAAAGCATTTCGCAAATAGAATAACACAACAAAAGCGCGTAGGGGTGTGCCACGCGCAAACCCAAACAAAAAGAAACTCAGTGGGCCCAGGAACAAACAATGCTTGAAAAAACAGCCCTAAATGTCTAACCAGCAGTAAGTATCCATCCTATAAATTAAATATGTTCTCACTTTATAGAGTTGCGAAAAATGAGTGAAAAACGTGTCTGTGTTAGCGAGAATAAAGAGAAACGGAATTGGCTCAGCCGTACCTGTATATTCTTACTAGCCAGTGCTCAGAAGTAAAAGCTTCTTCTAAATGTTCTAACTTAAAGTTTTTGTTTCCTATTTCTACGTTACGAGTCCTATCGAAACCAGACGGAGATCGAAAGTCCAGCTGAAAAATAAAAATACAGGCAATTCAATTTACATCACGAGTTTACCAGATTCAACGCATTCTACTGACTCCTTTGCCTTTAAAACATCTTCCTTCATCTTCAGAAGGGACTTGAACCAGCTATTGGTGACTTCAAAAGGGAGGTATAAGATGTTAAGAAAGTATGTTTATGCACCACCTTAACAAGTTCTCCTACCCGCTCAAGCCTACCGCACTGTAACAAAGTCGAATGTACTTAACTTTGGTGATGTTAAGTTGTTAAATGGATGAAACAAAGTCGAGAGTCGACGAAACTGTTAAAGTTCGGAGTCTTGTATGTGTCAGATGACAGACAGTTTATCATCATTGCCTCTCAAAAGTTCACCCGTTTAGACTTTTGATCGCGTTTCAATTGTGTCAAGAGTAAAACATACTGCATTCAGATTACCTGCATCTCACCAAATCGATAATAACACATCTTGTACATGAGGCAGTTTAAGAGGATAGGCGAACCAGCCGCGTCTACACGGAACTCGCCTTGAGGGGTAAAATAGTCTGATTCCTGCAACAGATCAAACATGAGCAGTGTGAACAAGTCGCTCTCAACGAGCAAGAAAAGATGGGGCAAGAGTGGGGTGGGGCTAAAGCGGGATAGGGTATAGAATAAACCCACCTCCCCCCTCCCTCTCCCCCACCCCGCGACCAATACTTGAGCATGTTGACCACGGTCCGATACTAACACCGACAAAGTGAAACTTTTTCTGGTAAATATGAAAGGAAAAAGCAAAAAATAAAGAATCCTTCTCCTGTATGGTTTAATGTTTACTTTCCTTTTTAGTTTGGGCAGTCCTTCATTGGGGGGGCTTCACGTAATTCATCACCAGATGAAACACTGAGAAGAGAGTTGAAAATAGGACGCGTAGCGGAGTATTTTTGACGAACTTCGAGCAGGTGTTTCATCTGGTGATGAAACACTCTGTCGACTGACGGATATTACTTCCCAAACAAAATGATTTTAGACTTGGAGAAATTAAGGATGCAAAACTGAGCAGTTTTTCATCTGATTTCTGAACACTCATTAAATATTGATTTCCTTTGTATTTTAATGAATTTGAGAAGGGAGGTTCGTAAACTATCGTACTGAACTAATATCTTGCTACCATCAGGCATGCGAAAGCGAACAGATAAAATACAACAGCGATGATCGAGTACCTTAATTTCTTGTGGATGTTCACCTTCTGCGATCCTGACCATCCATAGGAACTTGTTGATGTCATCACCCGAATAACCAATCACACCACCGAATATAACAAGTACATAATCAACGTCTAGCATCTTCATGATCTTGTAGGCTGAGGTCTCGTTAGATGACATGGCTTTACCGACCTACACAAAAAAAAACAATACAGAAACAAAAAACAGATTCTATTACAAATCGATAAGTACTAACCTGTATTAGTAAAATCCAACTAGTGGTCTTTTATCAATGCTGCATTCTGATTGGTCAAGCTACCACTAGGCTACATGTTATAGCCCACTAGTAGCGAAAAGCGCCGGCTTTGAAAACCAAAACAAAGGCGGCTGAATCGCGTTTTACAAGCAAAAGTTGTTTTGCCCCGATATTTTTGACCAGCTAGTTGGGCTATTGACTCAAAGCCCATTCAGGCTCGAAGAATAATTGTTAAATAGACAGAAGTGTGACGTCACGTTACCATGGTAGCAAAATTTCTGGATAACAATAAGAGAGCTTAAGCAACGACGACGGCGACGGCAACGACAACGGCAAAAAAGCTAAAGGTTTAACTAGTAGCAAAACACTTCTTAGCCGTCGTTGCACGCGCCCACTTTATGGAGTTGGTGAACACAACACAAAAATTTTCTTCTTCTTTTTCTACACTTTCGCATTCAACCCAGAAAAATTTCGCCAACATTTGAAATTATGAAGTTTGAAACAGTGAGAATTCACTTTTTAAGTGACGTTTTCAGTTTGTTGTCATCCAGAAATTTTGCTACCATGGCAACGTGACTTAACTTCTCCTCTCTATTAGCCATTTTACACAGACACTCGTACAGGAATGTGGTTCTGTACCCAATGTCACACGTCATTTGCGCACCCTGTCTCTATCTCTTGCAGAAATGCAGCAAAAAAATATGCATCAGGCCAGAAGGCTCATTATATGGGTGGTGTCTTGTATAAACTCCACTTTCTGGCCCATCCCTCGTCAAGTACCCATGCAATGATCGCTTCTCTAACTTAGCCAACTCTTCCTCCCGTTCCCTGGAGTATGGGAAGGTTGAATACGTGTATGCAATATAATAACTCAGCAACTTTAAACTGACTCATACCAGAGCTATATGGCTGTTGTTCCACGTGTTATTGTCCACAAGCGTTGTTCTGTTGGCCATTCCAGCGATCTGATATCCATAATCCCACCAAGACATAATCCTGTATCACAATGCAAGACACAGCAACAAAACCTTTTAACATCCGTGGGAGTTTTGTGGACCTTTCCTAAAGGCCTAGCTCACACTCACGGGAAAGAAATCACTAGCTCGTGCTGTCATTGTTCAAAGATTTTTAATCGGCACTACCTTCAAGAAGTTTTGGTTGACCTTACAAACTGTTGTTGGTAGGCGGGGGGGGGGGGGGGGNNNGGGGGGGGGGGGGGGGGGGGTGTACATATATGGGGAATATGAGAGGTTTAAAAAACTTTCTCGAATATGAGCAAACAGGAGACTCAATTGACACGGACACATGGCGCACTCTCCAAATGCGTTTTCCTTTCGCACGAAAAATTGTCTAAGATCAGAGGATGATATATAAGACGGTTAATTACTTTAAGGGAACCTTTTAACGATCGGAGAGGACTGTTATAATTAACATATCATCATACATGTACATACCGTGCATTATCATCGGTGTTTTGTCTCAACCAGAAGTACGCCTCTCTGAAATCATCAAGAATGTTTCGACTCCTGCGGGGAGATAATGATGGAAACATCCCTTACTGCTGGAAAATGGTGTTAAGCTTAGTTTTTAATAGAGTAGCTATCAGTTGAGTAATTGATGCGTCGTGGTTGAATTCAACATTTCAACTGTCTTTCTTAAGCAATAATAACAAACGTTAATCCAACTGTATTTGCACAGCCTTGTATATACAAGGTTTTTTGTCAAACTTAGTGCCAGCTTGCTCAAAATGTCAAATGTGGGCGAATTTCCCTGAAGTTGAATTCCTGGGGACAGCAACCAAGTTAAAAGAAAGAGAAGGAAAAATTATTCTCCGTGTGTTTACGTCCGCCATTAAACGTTGCATACGGAAATTTCACGTTGTGGTCGTGCAGGGACGGCAAAGAAATGTGCCAAAACTTGTTGCTAATCTAGTCCTTCTTTCACACAGGAATGGACGAATTTTCGTCCAGTTAAAGATTCGTGTACCAACAATCATGGAAAAAAGTCTTGGGACACTTTTGCGTTTCTGGGGCGTTTTCCGATTCACACCGGTCCAAAACCTCCCCTCACCCCAAAACAATGTTGGACGCGTGTATCCAGAATTTTTTTTCCGAGTTTCAACTCTGTATAGGGTCGGGGGCGGGGGGGGAGGGAGAACTGCAGGAAAATTTCGAAAAGGATTCTCCGCATTGTTTTATGAGGGAACCCAGAATGACAGAAAAATATGAGTATTGCAGTACTGTCCCAAGGACTTTTGTCCATGATTGTAGGTGTTCACACGGAAACACCCTACAAAAATTTGAACGCCCAAAGCAAGGTCCAATTTTTAGCCAGCGCGATATAAACACCGTGACCATCTACCGTGACCGTGACGCCATTATGGATTTGCTAAAGTAGCATTCTGTGCTCTGTTTCCAGAGAGTTTTGCAGAGAAAGAAGGCTTACCCATCATAATTAGTGGAAGCCAATACGACTGATGGACTGGAGTAAGCATTGCTTGTCACCCAGGTACAGTGAACAGCAAACATCATCAGCATCATCACTACACACATGACAACCATTCCCTTAAGATTAGCACCAATCACACCTCCATCTTCCTCTTTTTCTTTTTCCACTTTTTTGGTGCTTTGTTTGTTGTTCTGTTTGTTATTTGAGGTCTTTTTCTTGCCGGGCTGTAAAAGAAAAAAAAACAGTGCCCAGAAATATCAGTATTGTAGCCTGCGTAGACTGCGTAGCAGGCGCTGGTAGCTTTTTGTCACGCCGCGCGAGGGGAACAAGCGCGTCCTCGAGATTTCTTCCTTCGCCCTAAAAAACCCGGCGCCAGCTACGCAGGCTATCAGAGATGTTCTAATGAAAACCAAACGGCCCTCTTTTTAAGTCATCTCTGAAGATACAATGTGAGTGTAAGCGGTAACGGTCTGCCAGTTCCTTGATAATATATTATGTAGATCCACAGAAAATGAGATAATTTCCTAGCGCGCGACAGACACACTAAAAACTGAAAGTCTCAGGGCTAAAATTCTAGCGCGATTGTTAGAATCCATCGTAAAACCTAACCATGACTTTCAATAAACTGTTATTTATATTAACATCACCTATTCCACCGTTCTCAAACTTTAAGTTTTCATAGGATACGAATACCCATATATGAACTCTAAGGTGACTTTGGTGTTCCAAGAAATTGTGATGTTAAATCGTAGGTACTCTTGTTTTTTGGCCATCTTAGCTTACGAAGAAACAAAAAGCAAACTGCGGTTTTTTGTATGGATGTTTCATATTTCAGTTTAAGAGGAAATTATCTCATTTTCTGCGTTTTTCTGTGGTTCTACATAATATTGAATATTTCCTACCATATGTTTCTTTAATTATTTACTTATTTCTGTTGTTATTCAACGGTTTATTACTTCTGAAGATGTATGTTGCAACAGACGAAACGTCAAGTTAAAAAACCTTTTTTCTTTCCAGAAATGCATTTATATTTCATTATGTTTATCACGGCAGTTTGCTTTTTGTTTTTTCTTAATGATGATGTTATTTATCGCGATGATGACGACAATAATGGTGAGGAAGATGACGACGAGGATAAGCACTTCATAAGTCAGGCAACTGCACTGAAACCGCAAACAGCTAGCTAAGCTAGCAAGTTATAAATGTACCTTATCATACAGATCTTTTCTCTTTTTCTTGTCACCTTCTTCCTCACTGCTTTCTGCATCAGCATCGCGACCTTCAGTCTCCTTGTTTTCATCCTGGCGATCTTCCACGAGATAATTATCCAGGGTTTTAGAGAAAGCAACAGCGGCAAGAATGCACACCACTGGCGTCAGGGTCAACATCAGACGTACCATCACACCAGCAAAATACACAGCTGTAGTTGCATACAACACAACTGCAAAGGACAAATTAAATAAGATGCTGTCAAAGCCTACACGTGGGTAGATTACGAGTACCCCATTTTTCCTCAGGGATAGTAGAGCAAGCGAACTGCAAGCGCTCGTGAAAATCACCACACGCGAGAAAAGCGTGATTAAAATGTGGTCGTATCCTTCCTGTTATCTTATGAGTAAAAAACGTAATTTTTTTTTCTGAAAAGAGAATTCTTTTTAATCAAACAAGACAAAAAAGCTGTAAACTTATGAAAAAAATTTGAATTCTTACCAAAAACTCTTTCATCATTGATTTTCTTCACCACGAGCCACAAACCAGCAGGGAAGGTGCAGATCAGGATGTGAAGATCAAAGAAGAAAGACACCCATGTAGTTGGCTGATGCTCAGAGACTGATGCAATAATGGGAATGTGAATCTTGGCATAACTGCAAAACATATCAATAAAATAATTCAGTAAAATCCAACTAGTGGTCTATTATTAATGCTACGTTCTGATTGGTTGAGCTACTACTAGGCTATATATTTTAGCCCACTAGTAGTGAAAAGCACCAGCTTTGAAAAGCAAAACAATGGCAGCTGAATCGCGTTTTGTTAGCTAAAGTTGTTTTGTCTCGTTATTTTTGACCAACTAGTTGGATTTTACTAAAACAATCTTGTTCCTCTCGCTCTCATGGCCTCTGAGTCAATAGTCCATTGGGCCTTCGGCCTCATGGGCTATTGACTCAGAGCCCATTCGGGCTCGAGGAATAATATTGTTAATTAGTAAAATCCAAGTAGTGGTCTATTATCAATGCTGCGTTCTGATTGGTTGAGCTGCTACTAGGCTATATGTTATAGACTACTAGTAGTGAAAAGCGCGCCTTTTTGGCGGCAAGAAAGGATTAAAGTCTAGCTTTAAGTAGCTAAAATTCGTTTATTCTCAATATTTTTGACCAACTAGTTGGATTTTACTAAAACAATTGTTCCTCTCGCCCTCCCATTTGGGCTTCACGAATAATTTTTAAATAGACTTAAATAAAATTTCTAACAAAAATTAATAGTTAGTGGAAACTTCTGTTATGCACTTTGACGTTCTTTGCTAAAATCAGTTCCACTGTTACATTGTTTAAGAAAAAAATAACTATTTAGAGCAGTCTTAAATTGACAAAAACGTTTTATGTGTAGCAGTTGGACAATAAACATTACCATTGGCTTTCTCAAATCAGTTTGTGAAAAATGGGTTTAAAAACTGCTTGCTACTTTTATTGGGCATTTTAGATTTTTACGGTAAAAGGGAACTAACAATTATGTCTGCAAAATCTTTATCAAACTTATCGAAAACAGATAATTAAAGTCGAAGAATAATTATAAACAGCAATTTTCACCTTCATTTTACAACCACTTACAGGGCATCTGTATAATACTGTAGTATCGATTTTATTTTAGAATGTTGCTTGTTGTCTTTAGTTGAGTTATGTAAAGTGTGCTAAATGCAGCTAAATTTACTCACCCAGTATCATATAAGGAATAAAACCTCCCACTCCATGGAGCAACATAACCTGCAACAACACAACACAAATTTTGTTTTCTGAAAAGACTGTCAGACTAATATCAGTAACTTGAGCAGCACTGATGGGATACAAGTAACATCTTGCTTGCCTAGGTGTACTAAAGGGTACACTGTTGTAGTGAAATTATCACAGTATTCTACCAAAGTGGGAAGCTTGCCCAGTTATAATATTATGCATTGTAATCACTATCTGTCTTCTGATTGGCTAAGAGCATACAGTTATTTTTGGAAATGAGTACAACCTACAGGTTATTTTCTTATCTGTTAGCAGATAACCAACTAGTCTGTAGATTGCATATGCAATACATGATTTCCAAGAGCAATGTCAAACTGCTTTCTGTGAAAAAAATTGGTGTTCCTATTTCCTTCAAACCAACAATGTGTAATAAAACAATTCAGTTTTTTCAATTCAGTGTTTGTGAAATCCAGAATAATCAAGGTCAAGAAAAGTGTCATCAGTCGAGGCAAATAATATAACATTTATGTGACACAAAACAAAACCCTCATCCAATAATTGTTCGAGAGTTGCAAGCAAACTGCCTTTGAACAACTATCATATTGAAGCTTGGAAAAATTAGTGATCTATATGCCATCTGATGGTCTACAGGCAAGGTTTTAAGTGCTTCTGAGTATAAAAACAACTTTCATGCCTTTCCTGACACAAGAATTACTCACAGAAAATTATCTATTTTGCTAAAAAGGCCTATAAACGTGGTCTTAGTATTGGAGGCGGTGCTACACCCCTACAAAAATGCATCTTAGAGTCGTACAAGTAATCGTTGATAAGGAAAGCCATGAGTCAAAGACAATGGGATTTCATTCCCCCCTAACGGCTGTGCTCTAAGAAAAACTATAAGGAGCAAAAAGAGCTGAGCTGTAGGATGCCTGGTATAAAAACTTAAAACTATGATTTTTGCTGCACCCAGAAGCAAAGGTTAGTTGACAGGGGTGTTGGGTACTGCATGAGGACAGCCCTGATGGTAGTTGCTCCACTGCACACAATGGACGGCAATGAATGCAAACAAAATTAAAATTAGAATGATGAAGTATGCATTGCTTACCAGCATAAGTAAGAAAAATGACAGCAATAAACACCAAACCAGCAACAGCCACAACAGCAAAGATAAAAATGTTTTTAAAATCAGTCCATGACACTTTGCTTCTTATGTAAACCAAGAATCCATAGGCTTGAAGCAAGGCAAATGTTCCTAATAATCAATTGATTGATAAAATTACACAAATAATACACAGAATGCCAACAAATCAAATAAGTGCATGCAATTAAAACTAATTTCAAAAATATACATGTACATGACAGATGTGATGTCATGTGAAAAGGCTCTAGAGCAGTTTACACAAATTTTACTAAACTTGTACAACTGCAGGCAAAGATACAATGCAATGCCTCACTGTGCTGGCTGAGGTTACTATTAAGGGAAATAGAGAGCTTTACATTCTAAGATGAGTACGACTACAAGAAAAAGATTTTCCCAATACTATGTAGTGCATGTGCACGAACCAACGTCATTTTGGTGGGAAAAAGTGATAGCCATCAACATTCTACTACGAGTTTTAGCGAGATTGTCACAGTGGTGAAAACAAGTTATCAAATGTTAGAAATTTTATCATTTAGTGATCAGGAGAGGGCTTTACCTCCTTCAATGGAAATAAGCATACATGTACTAATTTTTGTGCAGGAAAAAGTTCAATGAAGCTTTCCGGGGTGTCTATTAGTAGAGAATAGGTGTGAGAAAACTTAAAACTAAATGTCATCCTTGTAGTTGTCCTCATCCTCGAATCTAAAGCTCTCTCATAAAGGGAATTCCGTGCATTAATTTCCAGAAACATTTATTAAATCCATAAAAGTTTCCATAATCACAAAAATGAAAGCACCCTACCTGCTGCAGCCATGTGTTCACTTGTTCTGATTGGTTGGAAGCCGACAAAAGGTACTTGCATAGACATTAGAAGACCCATGATAAAGAAAGTTGTGTATGCTGCAAAAATTGAGAAGAAATCGATGATGACACTTGGATCAACAGTTAGTTTTTTGTAGTAAGTTAAATAGCAAGCATTTTGTCGTATAAAAAACAAATAACACTCTGGGCCGGGTTGTTCGAAGCTGAGTTAAGATAACCCAGGGTTAGTGCCAAATTTGAACTCAGATATGAGAGCTTAAAAAGCAAATCCAGTTTAATTCTCTTTGCCTACAATTTGATGACTGGAAACTCTAAAAAGAATATAGAAAATTATCTGAGAGAGTGCTTTTGATGAAAAGAAAAAGAAGCCCGGGTTAAAATTTAACCCTAGGTTAGCGCTAACTGGCGTTCAAACAACTGGACCCTAGCTGATGACATAACCATGCTGGTAATTTTTCATTTTCTTCCTCGAAGACACAGGAGCAGTCATTTGAGTTGGAAGAATAGCATGATTAAAATTTTTTAAGCACAGGCAGAAAAGCCACTAAGGACACTTCTTCATCAGAACAGTTCCAAATGGTGTTTGTAAACTTTCATTAGGCTGATTTAGCAATAGAACAGGAATGTCAGTTGACAACGGCACGCACAAATCAAACAACTGGCATGACCAATGGCAAAGCAGCAAATTGGGCACCGGAAGTCGTTTAGTCCTTTCCGCACACTTTCCCGTAGCCAACTGACATTCCCGTCCTGTTGCTAAATCAGCCTATTGCGCCATTTCTTTCAACCTAACAGACTACCCAATGACAGGAGCAAATCAAATTAACGAAAAACAAAAATCTGGAGGTAGTGTTTCAGGGCATAATCGAGGGCTTGTACATGAACAAGATTAATGGCTGTCACTTTCCAGATAAATACCACCGATTCAAATTCAATATTATTGAAAACCATGCTGCGCCAGAAGGAGAAAGATTGGTCGATTGATGACACGATAATTACGTAACACAACCAAAGCTTCAATAACAAGGTAACTTACAAGACCTAACACAAGTGAAAACTGAGAGAAGCCACCTGGCATGTGAAGCATGCCTTTTACAGAAGTGCTGCTGACCAGTACTGGCTCTGTATTAAAAATCAATATATTAATATACTCTGTAGTATAATGCACATACCAACATAAATCTTGTAAGAGAAGCGCCCCATGAGAAGCAAGAAGAAGACATGAAGAGGTATAAGGTTGATGATGAAAACATATCCACCCCATGCTGAAACCTAGAAATGAAAGATGTGAACTTGTCATGACGTAAACAGACTATTCATGCTATTTGCTATCTTTTCAAAAAACTAATTCTAAAAACAATAGTTCAGTTTTGCTATTCAAGACTATGTTAGACATTAAAACTGATTCCTGTCAACTGTGGATCTGTGGCATGTATGGACATGGATTGAAAGTTGAAAAAGTTGGGTCAGCTTTCTTTTTCAACTTCTCTTAATAAAACTACAGGAGCATTTTTTGTATGGGAAGAGGCACTAGAATTGCACTTCAGCATAGAATTGACCCACACTGTAAAACAGAAATACAGCTGTATTCTTGTAACATAGCCCCTTTACGAGTACAAAAAAAAAATAACCAACAGCAGTCTAAGTCAATGGTTTCTCTTTCCAACAAGGTGAAGTGCTCAGTGAGTAGAATGATCATGGTTTCAGTACAATGACACTCTGTGATACTAAGTCTACAAGGAAAACTACATAAAGCTCCTCATAGACAAAATGCTTATTTAGGATTTTACTCACCATGTAGAAGTAAGATAAGCTGGTACATGCTGCCCAGAACACTGATCCAGTCTTAACAGACTTAACCTGCATGAATTAGTAGAAGAAAATGATAAAAAAAAAAATATTTACAAAACAAATGTTCACCCAAAGGAGCTGAGCTGTACCCAGTGAAGTTTGAATGAAAATACAGTACTTTCCCAAGGTAGACTGAACAGCTTCTTCCTCATGTGCATATAAAAATTAATGGTACATGTAACTAGCACAAATTTAGGCTATTAAGGCCCGGTTTAGACGCCGAACTTTTCATGAGCCGAACCTAATACATTGAATTAAGTACATGGAAATTTCGGCATCTGAATCAATTAGGAACACCTGATTCAATTTGGAACGGCTCAGCCATTCTTTTCGCCTAGCCCGGCCGGGAAATTCGCCTTTGGAGCGACTTTGATTCAGACGCCAAACTTTTCAAGTACTTAACCTAATGCATAAATTATTATAACGTATTTTGTAAACAGTTAGACTGAAATGAGCATTTTTCGCCCTTGAACTTAGTTCAGCTGCAATTAAGATCAGCGTCTGAATCAATTCAGCCGGTCTACAATAATTTGGGTCAGCTTAATTCAAATTAGGTTCGGCTCATGAAAAGTTCGGCGTCTGAACCGGGCCTAAAATTCTTGGATAGGTCCTTATTTCCTAGCCTGCGAAAACATCTGTTTCTCCTCGCTCTTTGCCGCTGAAGACGCTTCGCGCGGAGGAACGTCTGCGACTCAGCGACAGAAATTCCATACTAATGACGCAAATCAATGTTTACATAATAAATCCCGTAGTCATGGGGTTCCAATCACAAATTTGTCCAATTTTACGTGTCTTATGGTCGATTTTGGTAAAGTGTTGTGCTCATCTGCCAACGAGCTCCAGCAAAACTCAAACGCTTTTTCTAGAGAAGAATATATTCCACAAATATTGACTGTTTTGCTAGAGATTCTTTGCGTTTGCATTTGACCTTTGTGGCCTTTTGTCTTTTGTCTGTCATTCGCAAACAATAGCTAAAACAATGTAACTACTCCGTTGACCAATCAGCGCTTCTGACCGGATTCTGGACAGATTTTACGTCATCAGTATGGAATTTCTGTCGCTGAGTCGCAGACGTTCCTCCTCGCGAAACGTCCCCAGCGGCGAAGAGCGAGGAGAAACGGATGTTTTCGCAGGCTACTTATTTCCTGAAGAAAAGAGTTACATTAAAATAAAGAGAAGGTACATGACTATATTTAAAATATTGAAGCACTTAACACATGAATTTTGAACAAGTCATCCTTCAAAGAATATTATATTATTTAAGGCTAAACATGTTCTTAAAAACTAGGTTTTTATTTAGTGAGTAGAACTGTAATGGAGGTAAATGACAGTGGTTTGGACTCTCCTGACACCACAAAACTGCCTAGAATCACTCAGGTCCATTTTTTAAAGTAGCTTACAAAACATTTCCACATCTGTTTCTGGAGTTTCACAGCTTCTCAGAAACCCCGAATCTAATGCACTGTTCAAGACCTTTTATTAATTATAATAAATCATTTAAATCCACACCTACCCATAAAAAATAAGTAAACTGTAGTGCAAAGATGGCAATTCCTTCATTGTCATATGATCCTGCCACTGAGCGCGATATGTAACCAGGAACTGGAATAATCACAATAGAATTTTACATAGACTTGAGTGGACTGATCTTCTGCATGTCGAAACTGCCAACTGACTAATCATGCCTTAAAAGTTCCACCTTACATCTATATACTATGTTCAGGGTTGTCACTAAGATTTCAAGTTGCTGGGTTAATACAACAAGTAGGCGGGGAATCAAACAGCTTGGGGTTTCTTTTGGTTTTATTTCCAACCCTCCAAGTTACGACTATTTTAGTTGCAATGGGGCCTAAAATTTTGAAGCTGGTGACTTGATTTGTAAAAAAGTCTCCCTGAACCAAAAGAATTGGTTGCCAAATGGTGGCCAAGCAAAAACTTTAACTTGGAGGGTTGATTTCTCTTCTATTTTGCTTTCAGGTTCTCCAAGAATCGTCAATAATGGAGAATATAGCAAAGCTAAATTGATTGTTTAAAACCTGTAAAGTGCACAAATTTGATTTGCTTTGTTTCAAGCTCATTGAGGTACATTACCAGACCAAATGTTCAGCAAAGGAAAATCAATTTGAACCAAGGGCAGAAATGAACTAAAATAATAAAATGTATACTGACATCACAGAAGTTGCTACAAGTTGATCCAAGGATGCAATGTTCAGTTACATTTAATATCTAATATTGTTTACATGTACATCTGTACAATGTAGATTGTGTGTGTTAAAAACAGTTAAAAACAAACTTACCAATGGCTATAAAACAGGCTGCAAAAAGACCAGCCCTATCATTCCACAGTTCTTTTGTTAACAAATATGTTGCTATGGCAGTAAGACCACTACAAATGAAAATGAGATAACAAAGTCAACAAATTAATGTTTGTGCATTACTAAATACTAAATACTAACAGTGCATTATCAAGTGGTAATAATAATTATAATAAAACTAATAATAATAATAATAATAATAATAATAATACTTTAATTATCCTCTCTCCTTATAAGGCTTTTCAGGGAAAATAAAAAACAAACAATTTAAATGGAACATAACATGGTTAAAAATGCCAACTGGAAGGAGGTGCAATCAGTTGGCTATTTTACAAGCATGGCCAAGGATGTGAACTTGGGACCTCCAAGAACAAATCCACCTATTGGTCTGAGCAGGACTAGAACTCGGGGCCTCTGAATTACAAGTCCATCACTCTAACCACACGGCCACGCTGTCTCCTTGTACCTTCCCGCTAGGGACATTTCGCCAGGAGGAACGTTTGCACCTTAGCAACAGGTATTCCATACTGATGATGTAAAATCTGTGACTCCAGAATCTGGTCAGGAGTTCTGATTGGTCAACATAGTAGTAATATTGTTTTACCTATTGTTTATGAATGACAGACAAAAGAAAAAAGGCCACAAAGGTCAAATGTAAACAGGTTCGTAAACGTGATGAATCTACCACGGAACAGTCAATATTCCTGGAATATATTTTTCTTTAGAAAAAGCATTTGAATTTTGCTGGAGCTTGTTCGCAGTAGAACACAAAACTTTACCATCTAATAATCAACCAAAAATGTAAATGTAAAATCAAACAAATTTACATTTGGAACCCCATGAATACCGCATTTCTTATGTAAACATTGATTTACTTCATCAGTATGGAATTTCTGTTGCTGAGGCGCAGACGTTCCTCCAAGCGAAACATATCTAGTGGCGAGGAGCAAGGAGAAATAGCTGCATTCGCAGGTTAATGTCTAACTTACTCAAAACGTAGAGAGGACTATTAATTACCTGAACATAGGGGCCAAAAACACACATACGTCTCTAATGTGCACTGTGACATGAAGAGTATTTAATACCCAGTGAATAGTTGCTGATGTAAGCATCAATCCTGGGTAAACCTGTTATAAAAAATAATAATTAAACAACATTTGAGATAAATAAGGATTAATCTTCCAGCAAATGGAGTAAAAAACTACCCCCAACAACAACAACAACAAACTTTTAAATTACATTTCGCTTTAGAATAATTATAGTTGCAGAAGGTAGTTTTAGTCTAACAGTCAGTTACACTATAATATTTGCAAAACTAAAAATACATTAAAGGTAAGGAAATGCCTAGAATCTAAATAAACCATTGGGTTTCCGAGTTAGATACTAGTCTTGTATTAACCGCTGCCCGGTTAGCTCAATGGGATAAGTGCTGGTCTGCTGAGCGGGAGGCCATAGGTTCAAACCCCGGCTGGACCAACACTAAGGGTCTTTAAATAACTGAGGAGAAAGTGCTGCCTTTGTAATAACATCTGCAAACGGTTAGACTTTCTAGTCTTTTCGGATAAGGACGATAAACCATAGGCCCCATCTCACAAGCCCTTGCACATGTAATAAATCTGTGGGACGTTAAAGAACCCACACACTCTTCGTAAAGAGTAGGACACGTTGTGCCTAATCTAGTGGTCTATCTCACTTTCACACTCATGTATGGGGGCATCATTACTCATTCCTTCACTACTTGTAAACTGCAGCTTAAGCAGTCTGGCAAAGTCCCCCAACCAGTGTTGTAAATTATCCCTGAAAAGCCCTGAGTGGAGTGGATAATATGATATTTACATTTACATTTACAGTATTGTTACAATTTAATACCAGTATGTAGACATCAAGAGCAAAACATGCTGTAAGTGCTGATGTCTACATAGGAAAAAATTTTTTGGCAATAATGGTGGGGTATGAAAGACATGTCAGGCCTGACTGACGCCCTTCAGATACAGAGTGGTCCATTTGACAGGAAACAAGAGGGTTAGTCAACAGTACATAAGTATATTAAAATAATATCTAAGACTGCATTTGGTATTTGCAAGATGATGACATTTTACTACTGTGACCAGAATCCATTTCATTTATTCTTTCATATTTAACTTTGGTAATCCCAGTGAGGTTTGAATAACAAGAGCCACACTTTGCACAAGAAAACAAAACCCTGAAGGATTTTGGCCATAGCAGTATAAAATGACAACATCATGCAAATGGCCTTTTAACAGTACTGAAATGTAAATAATTTGAGATAGATGGATAGATAGATAGTTTATTCACCTTAAAAACTTGCCTCCATGAGTTGAATGAATGAGGGTTACAAATGCAATAATTTACAACCGTACTAAATTAAAACTAATAAATTAAAGCACTTTACAACTAATTAAAGAAAGATGATCCAAAATAATTTACAATTTTAAAACTGTTATGAAATCACAAATTCAAAAGCATGCGTCAAGTTCCTATATACAATAATAAAAAAAATTATATTTCAACTACTGTAAACATAACTTAAAAGAAAACTATTCTTCCATCTTTCAGTTTTACACTTTGGATGAATAAATGTTCTTTGTTCTCTCAAAGAGTAGCTTGGCTGATATTTACTTGAAAGAAGTTTGTGGAGACTGTGAGATTGATTAGTACATATTTCATTTGTACCTCTACTAAGAGGGTCTTACAAGGGTATTTCTGTGATACGTGACTAGCTGTTTTTATTTTTCACGAATTGTGAAATCATAATTTTTTTTCGTGTTCTGTGACCAAAAGGTTGAGTGTGTGCCGAAAAACTCAAATTAATAATTGATATTCACGATTTCATTACTTAACTTTCTCATGATTTTCAGTTTCAAGAGCAATGGAAGATGAATAAAGACTACAAAAACATCAAATGAGAGTGATGAAGGTCTGTAAGTTGCTATTTGCAGCCTTTCTTTCCCTTTTTGCCATGGCACTGTTTTCTCAGATGTACTCTTTTGCCACCTTTTTCTATGCTTAACGACAAGGCAAAGAAACAGGGGATAGTTGTATATTATTGTACACTACGACAGAATAGTCCCATACAGAGGAGTCGTAATAAAGTGTATGTTATGTTATCTGAATCAATGTAATAAATACAGGTATGTACTTACAGTTCCACCAACAATTCTCCCCAGTGGATACCATGCTCTCTCATCAAACCAGTTTAGAAAGTTGTAGAAACCATGGGTCACAAGATGATGAGTTGAGCGGTAGTTGAACCTGTAACGAAAAGTTCCAACGTCTCTACGTGACATTTTAATGGAACAAGTTCAGGTCATTCTGGACTTCGAGTGCAAGTTCACATGCTAAATTCGCTGCGAAAGAGTAGTTGTTGGAGCCAAACAAGAATCCAAATATCACAGTGCCTACTGGGGGACACTGAACCGATCTTGTTCTTAGTTTCTGAGTTTCTTAAGAGCTCTTTAACTTTCCTTGTGTTTTATATATCTTCGCAAATAAATTGTTGTGTTAAATTGCTGTGTTTTTTCCTTAGTTACTCTCTTGCACATCACAAGAACCCTCTGGAAATATTTCCCTAAGGTGCACCCCCCTCCCCACTGGAAAATTAGGCAAACTGATCCCCCCTGGAAAATTCGACCCCTTCTGTAGGGGGTGGTACGGATATTTTCTGGAACCACACAATATTTGGTGTGTATCAAAAAGCTATCCAGAAATATATGTTTGGATCACTTTTCACATCACTAGAAGACAAACAAAATCAAGGCTTGACTGCACTTAATAAGCTATTTTTGAAAATCATAAAAAACATCCTTAAGAAAAATTAGCAACTAAGAAGAAAAATGAGAGATTAATAACACGGCGATTTGGGGTCCTCATGACTCCATTATCCCGAAATGTTGTGTTATAAATCTTTTCATTTTTTTTTCTTCGTCGCTTGTTTAACAAAATTCTGCTTATAAAATGTTTAAGAAAAATTACTCTGGTAAACCTGAAATTCTCAAATAATTCAGTTTTTCCGGACAGGATGAACTAATACCTAATATGAACTTCACTCAAGTCAGACGAAAACTCTTTACTCATACAAATCATCAATTCTATTTAAAGCATTACCGGAAGGATATCTTTAAAAGGATTTTATTTTACAAATGACAGCCCAACTGCATGACAAATGATCTTTGTTCCTTTATATGGCAAGAATCGCAGCACAAACGTAAAATCCGCTTGCACAAGTCAAGAAGGAATTTTTTAAGGGTGATTTTTAATCGTTTTGAGTTTCTGCTATGACTAAGTGACATCGCTGGTCACATCTGCTTGTAGCCGCCAGCTGATGTTTAAACTTGTTTAATTATCAATAAAATTATGCAAAGTTAAATTGTATTTGATCAAGTTGACGCTTGTAGTAAAAATAAGACATCATCTCGGCGTGACAGATGGTAACAATATTAGCTTTAAAGTATTTCACAGAAAACGTGTTTCATTTATCGTTTCCAAAAAAGGCTTATTTTTGCAGCGATTTCTAGTTCTTTGTACAAAGCAATAAAAATCCACTCCAAATAGTTTAAACCCGCGCGGAAAAGAGCTGAACAGTTAGGTACGAAAAAAATTAAAACAAGGAGTCACTTTCGTTCCGACGACCGCAATAGAAGCTATAAATTTACTCCACAATCTAGGTTCTCTTTTTTAATGTAAAAAGAAAAAATTAAAAAAATACCTAAAGGTCGTTAAAATACTGCAAAAAAGCGGATCGAAACCGACGTGAGCTAAGCACTTACCAAGGATCAAACTCGTGAATAATACTCTCAAATCGTATCACAGCAAAAAGACGGCTTGCGAAACCCACTAACCACGCCAGAGAGAGGATGGTGAAAGTTAAAAGAGACTGCCAGCCTATAGTCTGCGTTTTTCCTTCATTAGAATCGATCTTCCTGTCTTTGGCAGCCGACGCTTCCCTAAGTTCGACCTCCATTTTGGAATTAAGGCCACGTTTTTGCGGCCTGACCAATCAGCGGTTACCAGCTGTAACGCTCGGTAGTTCCAGTCTTCCCATTGTCTTCCCGGTTTCCAAGCACATTTTTAACTGGGCTGCAAGCGTGCATGGTCGAGGAGAACGGTCATGAAGGAAGGCTTAGGAACACTAAGACAATTTTTGCGCGGTGATAGAAGAGAAGCGTCACCAAACAGATGGAAAAACGTTTTCCAGTAACAAGTTCTATTGCTAATAATGAACTTGCTGTAAATGCGGTAACTCGACCTGTAGACTCCCTTAGCTTGGGAGTTACTGTGTTTTCTGCCGTAGTACATGATAGCCTATAGAAGCTTTAGATTCCGACTCAATTAACACCAGACATTTAATGTGAAAGTTTATCAGGATGCGTTAATCAGATACATCTGATGCAGATGTATCTTAGTTAAGTTTGATCAATGCTCTACTTCCAGCAACTGAATACTATTTAACAATTATTCCTCGAGCCCGAGAGGAATAATTGTTTTAGTAAAATCCATCTAGTTGGTCAAAAATATCGAGAATAAAAAACTTTTAGCTAGTTAAAGCTAGACTTTAATCCTTTTTTGCCGCCAAAAAGCCGGCGCTTTTCGCTACTTGCGGGCTATAACATATAGCCTAGTAGTAGCTCAACCAATCAGAATGTAGCATTGATAATAGACCACTAGTTGGATTTTACTAATGTATTATATGTTCTAGATTATACAATGATGTGAATGCTACGCGCGCTGTGATTGGTCGTTGCCCATGATCTATTAGAGTACAGATACATGGATGACGTCACGGGAAACTTGTTTTCTTTGTTTCCGGTTCAACGTGGCACGCGGTTTTGAAAATGTTTGTGAGATTATTTCGGATTGAGGCAAGTAAAGCTTCGGAAAAAGTTTAGCAGGAGCTATGTTCAAAGAAGAAAAATGGAGAAACGGAGACCGAAAAAGCTATTGACTACTTGACAATGCCTAAACTACAAGAAATCTTCACAACTGTTGCCATCGTGTGTCTTCGCTACGAGAGACTCGCTGTTTTGCAAAATGTTTTCGCTATTATTCTTCTTTGAGCAAGAAAAGGCGGTGAAAAACTTTTCGAAGAAACTGTACAAAAGTAAGATAAAGAAGAAGCTAAGATGAAAAGTTGGGTTTGGGACTTAAAAAAAATGCCTAAACTAGCACAAATCCTCAAAAGGTCAAGCGGTATGAGGCAGGTATGTGTATCGGTCTTTTTCTTTTCTGATCATTGTATAAAACAAATAGATTTCATGTTGCCGTGGGTCTGTTCGGTAATAGATCACAGAGGACGTCAAAATGTGGTAAAAACAACAGTGACACACTCGCCTGCGGCTCGTGTGCCACTTCTTTGTTTTTACGACATTTTGACGTCATCTGTGATCTATTACTGAACAGACGCACGGCAACATGGAATCTATTTGTTAACTAGAACGTATGCCGCGCCAGATACTAAAAGCCACTAAAAAACCCCGCACCCTTGTGTTAATAATAGCCCAAAAATGCGTGTAAATGTGCGGAGCTGTTTTCATAGACCTCTGCAAGGTCTTAGACAGCTATCCTCGGTTTCAAAGAGCAAGAGCACGCGTTGAAGACAAGGTATAACTCGGTTTTGGGGTCCAAGTTTTAGTGTGGTGTGCGGCTGGTGGGCTAGAAGCCCTCTACATATACCCTTTGGAGCGGCACATACTTATGAATTCTATGAAGGGTTTATTGCTGCCCGCACAGGGCAGCATCCTATTTCTTGTCCTGAGAGCAAAGCTTGGAGGTTATCTGTTTGGATCTTTGTAAGCAGTTCCCAGACCCCTCCGCATAGCACCCTACGTAAGCCTAAATTTTACAGTTTTGTGGGGCTAAAAAAGGCTATAATGTTTCCTTGTGAACAAATGCTGGAGAGGAAATTGAGATAAACTTGTTAAAGAGTTTCTTGGCACTCAAAGACTTGAGTCTGCGATCTCGTGGTTTCAAACGGCATTCGACGGTGTTGATGTATTGGGCTGAAGTCGAACTTGAAAGTCGGATGCGAGTACGATCGTGAAGGACTGTAGAGGTAAGTTACTAATTTTTTTTAGCGAGGAATCGGAAAAGAATAAGACAGTCTTCTCTATGTGTCTCGCAGCGCTGTCGTTCCTTGAGAACCAACCAGTTATAAGCTGTGGATCGCTGTGGATCACGAAAACAATCGATGAACTGATCTTGTCACGAGGAGAAAATAGTTTGTCTTACAATCAACTGCAGAATCGTTTTCAGTAGATAACCTTCCCAATCTAGTTATCTTCTTTTTCTAGAACGATTTAATCGATTAAAATCTTTGGGCATTCATTGTTTGCATTACTGATGTTCTGTGCTTGTGTTTATTTGAAACTAATGGCGTCAAAGAAAAAGCAAGTTCGGAGTTATAAAACTCATGCTACATAACAAATAAAATAAATTCAACTTCAAACCAAGAGCCCATAATGGCTATTTTCAAACTTATCCATTTATACATCATCAATTTACTCTCCTTTTCTAATAAGAACGATTTTGTCTGGTCGATACGCAACGCTTCTCCGATCTAGAAGACAAGAAGACGCGATATTTCATATTTGACTCACACTCAAAGGGGCCAAATGAATAGCTTATTTACTGTCCGTCTAAGCGCTACATGGGGCAGCACTTCACTTCCAATATGGAACCTCTAGCATAGTCGAGTAACCACGGGGGTTATGGACAACAGGTGGCCACGCCCTTTTAACCATTCCACCCTGTTAGCCGGAAATGATCTGCATTAGCCGAGCCGATGGCTCCTGTCTGCAAGTACTAATCAAGGAAGCAAATGAAAAGGGCTCGAATAATTAAGTTTTAAATGTAAGAGATTAGAAGAGTTGTTGTAATTATTTCCCACATCAGTGATTTTTCAATGCAAATTAGGTAATATAATAAAAAGTAGAGGAAACAATATTCGAAAATGCTTTCCTTTCCTCGTAACCTTTTTTCCTTTTCTGCCTCTAGTTCAGAGGGTAGATTTCGACCAACTAGAGATGAATTTTGCCTCAGTACCCACTGGTGAATAATTTCATAATTTAGCAACGAAAGGTGTCAATTATTCTGAATTGACAGTTTTCCTTTTACCGGTGAAATCCGAGCTCACTCAACAAAAACTTCGAGTGAGGCGGCATGTCCGAGATAAAAACGAGTACAAACAAAACCAGGTAGAAGTTAACCGCGATTAAGAATTTACAAACATCGATTGAGAGGACATTGACGGCAGCGCATAAAAAATGTTCTGGGACGCAACTGTGAAGGTATTGATATCATCTTTTAAAACATGAAGTAGTTAGTATAGGGATTATGAAGCTAGAAAATTGTATCTGCCATTTTATTACTACAGCTGCGACGTACGTCAATAGTATCCTTTGATTGCTACTGATTACTATAAATGAACGGTGTTCAAATCGAATATGGTCAATATGTGTACATATTGAAGTATAAATACAGTACAAAGTGACACGGTCAAAGCATCCAACGAAATTACAGTTGACAACGGTTATGTGCATGTTAAACAACCCCCAGTTGCACGCGAAATGGTTTGGTGTTCATTTCATGCACAATGAAAATGATGTTTTCTTAACTGGCTCGTGAATTCAACGGATTTTGGGTTGTCGGCGGTACACCTTCAAGAAGAAAACGACATGACATCGAAACGCAGAAAATTACAGTACATGTTACTTCCGGTGAACTTAGCTGCCACTTACAATACTTGATCATGACTCAGCAATTTTGTTGTAAACTACAAGTACGAAAAGTTTTGAGATGATCACCGATTTCTATCATTTTCATTTTATATCAAGATCGGGTCTTTATGTTTAAATGATTTCTTATGATTTTCTGGGCTTCCTGACAAAAATACTTTGTTCTTAAAAGAAGGAACATGTATAATTTCCAAGGAGTTTGCTCCTAAGATAACCAAACATAGTAAAATCATAGTGTGAGCTATCTTAAGAACAATTTATCTGAAATCTATCGATTGGAAGTTGCTTTCCAAGTATTTGTTTGCGTACAGTTCTCGTACGTAAACAAGACATTTACGCGGGGCGTGTACCACCTCCCCCGGTTCATTTCTTCTGATTACGGCTTGTCGATTCGAAGGTGAAGAGACTGTACGACTGTTATGGTAAGCTTTTTATAAGATGGCCAATAGTCTTATGATAAGCTTTGTATAAGTAGTAGCAAATACACCCTTTTTGTGTTGTATTCTTTAGAAGAAGATGAGAGGAAAGGCGAGAGGTAGAGATAAAGTTTACTATTCGAAGTACAACATCGAACTATTAAACAACGAATGGCTTTTCGTAATCACATGTTTCAATTGTGGTGTCTAATAGCAAACAAGTTTAGTTACATTTAATGGCATTGTATGTGGAAACCAGTTTAATACAGCTGTAACATTATTTTCAATAGTCATACCAGTTTATTACAAAATTTTCAGAAGGATACATGTGAGGTAGGTCATTTCAACTGAAATGATGTCTATGAAGAGCAGAAGACTAAAAGCTTAGGGAAATCACTCTGAGAAACCGGGTGTCTATGCCTCTTATGATTGATGGTTTTAGCTCATTTTCACACTCGATAGCGGTTGATCTGTTCATAGCTAGTGAAAATACTTCACAATCCATTTTAGTAGTGACATTATTTTTGCTCAGTAGTAAACGAGTGAACAAGAGTAGATTAGTAGTGATCAAAATAGTTATCTCCTTATCTCCTTTTCGTTCTGTCCTTGCAGGCGTATCTTCCTGTTGAACAGGTTAAAATCCCATATCGAATTTTCGTAGGGGGCATCGCATTCAACGTAAGTTTCATTATTTTTTATCACTTAACAGTTTGAAGTGGACTAACGCGATTTAGACATCATCCTATTTTCTTTCTTTGACATGGTTAACAAAATCTACGGTTACAGTAAATTGATTTACATGTACAAAGATGGCGACAAATTTGAGGATTCACTTAAATTGTCGAGAACTGAAATTTTGTTGCTTAGTATACTTTGATATTGTATAATATGTTTTCAGACTACAAAGGAGGAGCTGAAGGAATTTTTTAGCCGTTATGGAGCTGTGCGCGACAGCAAAATTATACGAGACGCAGAAGGTTTGAGTAAAGGGTAGGCTGGAAAGTTGTTGCTTGTTTTATTTTACATAGTGCTCCAAGTTACTTTAAGCGAATATTTGTTGAACAGTCAAGAAGTTTAGACGTTCTTGCTGACCGATGAGAGGGCCTATGAGCTCCATGGTAGACAAATTCCAGTTCTGTCTTTGGCTACTCTTCGGCTGGTACAACCAAAAGCGACGTGCATTTCACGTTTTTAATCCGTAACTAGCCCAGCTTTCTATCACGCGTGATACAAAATCATACAACATTGACTCTTCTCTCACAAATCCTATAAATCCTACTATCCCGGCTCAGTGCAAGTTTTCAATATTTCGTTTAAAAAAATAAAGGATTCATCCGGAAAAAGTTGACTGAAGTGAAAAACTAATTATTAAAGGCGAGCCTGTATACATGTTTCATAAGATTTTCCTTTGACCATTTTTTCAGTCAGAAGTTTATCTTTTATGGCCGTTTCTCGTTTATTTGAGGTACTTCCAGTGGATACAAAGAATAAGTGTGAATTGGAAATGGTTGAAAATTTGATTTCAAATGCATCAGTTCAACTTGATTCTTTAAACGAGCATGCCGAACTTTGACAGGTCTTTCCCTTTTCTTAAGGTTTTTTATCGACAGGCTTAGCTCTGCAGATAGGTTAACCTTTTCTCCGCCAAAGCTAACAATACTAATGGACGCGAAAGTTTAAGAAAACTGCGAGGTGTGAAAAGCGTAGACATAGTGGCGCCCCATACAACGCTTGCGTCGGAGAATGACAGAAGTAGCGACGTTGATAAAACTGGTTTATATTCCCTTATCCCAGGTACGGATTCGTGACATTCTTCCGGGAGGAAGATGCAAAAAAGGTCATGAGTATGGTAAGCTTGCTGTTATCTCGTGTGTGGTATGATTTCTACTTATTTTAGTCTTATTTCACGTCAAATCTCTACTTATTACACGTCAATATTGACTTGCGTATCCTACACACCGAATAAGCGCGTGTGTTATCGCCCGCTTAAGGCGACTGAGGCAGTGGTGGATTTATTAACATTCTTTACCTTCACTTTTACGAGTTCATATAAATTCTTCCCAAGCAAGAGTCTTTTATGTTAAATACTAGCCCAGGGAGCTGAGTTCTTCTGGCTTGCAGTCACTGGAGAGAAGACGTAGACGTGAAGTTTAGAATTTGTTGTCTTTTATGGATCAGTAATATATATATTAAATAAACTCTCCCATAATGATTTGGAGAAAACTGTAAAAGCATTTGTTATTTTGCATTCTTATGACAATGAAGTAGCCCTAGCCTCAAAAGAGTCTTTTATTTGTGAAGGCTCTTGAATCAACTCCGTGAAGCATTAACTTAAATCGTATCTCCAGGGGGAGTCTCGACTCACCTCCCCTTTTAAAGTTCTCGACCAGGCGCGTAGGGCCGTCATTTTTGGACACCACTATCCCGCTTCTATCAAAAGCTCTTGATGAGTGTCCTGCTTTCCTCCTGTCAAGTACTCGCCAATTTTTATGCCCCTGGGGGAGTAGTAGTGAACAAAGTTTTTTACAGGAAGGCTCCGCCCCAAAGTCTGACACCTTACCCTATTTTGACAGAAAAAGTACCCCTTTGGTGAGGCCCACTAAGAGTGCAAGGGCGGGGGAGGTGGGGGTACGTATGTCCTTAGTCTGACTTTCAAATTCGGTCGTTTCGCCGTTTTGAGATCGGAGTCGTCTTTTTCATCTAGCTTTATGTGGATGCTTCAAGGTCAGTATCCTTGTCAAAATGTTACCAACAGGGTGGGGCCTCTTTTGTATACCTTCCATTGACAGATGGTACTCCTTTCACATGCCTACAATGTTTAAGACCTTTGGACCTCTTTTAACTGCTGTAAATGTACTGTCTGTCAAGTATGAAAAAATCACAAACCCGAACGTTTTCTGAACGTTTTTACAGCTATAAAATGTACTCAGTGTTAGCGTTTAATTTTGGGACTTTTTACAGACCAAAATGACAGATTTTCCTACGCTTTCATATACTTCAACCAGTAAAATCACTGCACTACCCTTTCATTTACCTGAAGCCTGAGAAGGGTTCCCCTTGCGAGAAGAGCGGAGCCACCCTGTACTAGCCATTAAACGAAGTACCCCTCCCGGGGTTATGCCTAATTGCAACAAAAATTTCTATCTTGTCCTGAATTCGTGAAAGATAAAAAATTAAAGGGGGCTGAAGTTTGATGAAGAAGAAGCAGGTTTTTACAACTTTGTTTGTCCTTTTTTTCAAGGGTACCATTTTCTTTAAAGAGAAGCGATTAAACATTTCCGAAGCCTATCGGAAACAGTCACCCGTACATGCAACCGTAAGTTTCCAAAGAATTCTAATTTTTCAGAAACGAGTGAACATGCGAAACTTCTCGGTCCGCCTATGAATTACAAGGCAGGCGATGCAAACATCTTTCACTTAGGTAAAAATCGATTGTTTCCATCTGCCACCTTAACATTTGGAGGATGAAAACCTGTCTTGCATGGAAAAAACTGACTCATCATTAGTGTCACCCCACACAAACCGCATTCTCGAGGTTACTGATTTTTCAACGTTCCAAGATCGACAAGTATCCTGGTGTGCTTTCTACTTTGCACAAAAACACCCTAGGATCGTTAAAAATGGATGTGAAAAAACCCTTTGTGGACCCGAAAACTTTTGATAAATCGCCTGCTCACCGCTTCAAAGGAGGCGGCTTTTTAAAGCTCTACACTCTTTCTGGTTTTGGAAAGCCGAGGCTGGATGCTGATGATTTCGAGAAATCGTATAATTTCATTCGGTATGTCCAGAAAAGGGACTTGAAGATTCAGAAAAGAAAACATCCTTGAGTATTTCTATCAAAATTTCTGAAATTCGAAAAAGACTGGTTCTTTCTGTAGAGTAAAGAAATTTTGAGAGGACAGTCAGTGCGGAAATATTGAGCGCATGCAATATTGGACCATAAACAAGAATGGGTTACCTATTTAATGTTGAGTTTATGTTGTATACTTTCAGGCAAACCAGCAAGCGAATGTATTCATGACCGTCGCAGGTTAGTTTGTTGCGATAAAATTGATCAACTTTGTACGATATAGACAGGGTGATACGAACTCGAAATTGCTTTAAGCCTGAGCAGTCGTTTGTTTAATCGCGCGAAAGTTGATAGACCGCCGATTTGTCGTGTGTGCATGAGGTTGAAGAATACATCTTCCTGGCCGACCAACAACACCCAGGGTCTTAAATTTGAGCGGCTTTCCATGGGTACCTGCGGACGTCGTTTTTGTCGCGCGTTGAATCAAATGGTTCCTTTTTTTAGGGTAATATCGTAACACAGGGGCGGATCTAGGGGGAGGGTGCAGGGGGTGCGCACCCCTCCCTGAGATGACCTGCGGTTTTCTAATACAACTGGTATTCTGCAAAAAAAAAAGAACTATGTGGTTTATTGGTGTTGAAGTAGAGCAAGAGACGAGTGCACCCCCTCCTAAAAAATATCCTGGATCCGCCCCTGTAACATATCAAGAATTCACTTGCGTTGGTAAAGCTGCCAGCTGCTAATTTTAGCGAGCTCAAGTAACAACGATGACAACACAAAGCGTAGCAAAAATAGGCGAGCAACTAAGCAAAACAAAAAGTCTGAAGTTGCAGCAAACTTTTTGGCAGATTTTTTTGCCATCATCGCACGACTTTGATGGGAATCGTGGTATTGCGATCGTCGCTTTTATCCCTAACAAGATCGTCCCGTCGTCGATTTCGCCTGAAATGCCACCTACAGAGTCGCTATAGAGAGTGTCAAAAAATTACTCTGGAAGAAGGTAGTGATTTGCCCTGTCAATTTCTAGACCTCTGCGTGGAACGGGTTAATCCGCCGTAAAAGTTGCGGACGCCTCTTCAGCAGAATACGACTACGTAAAAATTTCAAGTTCACCCAGTTAGCCGAGTTGGTTTTAAAGAAAATGACGCGCAGCAAATAAATTGATAATCGAGATGCCATTTCTTGAAATCACAGTGTTACGTTTTTTACGCTTTCTTTTTTTTCTTTCCAATTTTATTTATATTCAGCCCCTTCAACTTGGCCCACGGCTTCTCCTGCCAGTTCCATTTACCCCTCGGATCAGGTAGGTTTGCGATCAATCCATCGTTCGGATTAGGGTTAGATACATTATGCTTGAAAATTTGAGCATTAGGCCTTTGGGCGTCACCCTCAAAACAATAGTATTATACCTAAAATTATGTCCTAAAAGTAGCATTAAGCGCAAATGATCTTGGCTATACTGATGCCCTTTTCCATGCCTGCAGACAAAAAACAATTCCTCCATAAGCCAAAATTGCATCAATTACAAGTTGACAAGAAATAAACGACAAGTAATGCTCAAAAGGACTCAAAATGTCCAATTTCAATGGAACTCTCCATCGTTAGGATGCTCTCTGATAAGTTTGCAGCCTGCTATAATGATACAATGATGCAACTAGCCTTTGAATAAGTGAATTCCTTACTAAAAGCACTTGAAAGTGAAAATGTCTTATTCCCTGTTCATTACATTTGTGGATGTCATTATTAATTTTCTCTGTCATTCTCATTTATCTCGTTATGCTTAAAAACATGCCCATCATGTCGACATTATGCTCGATGCTCCGACTACACCATAATGCCAAACATTATGCCAACATAATGTATCTGACCCTAGCTCAGTGGATCACGTATTCCGCTAGCCTGCAAACGCGACGTATTTCTGGTCGTCGCTTCTCTCCACCGAAAATACGTTTGCGTTCGCAGGCTAGGATCACACCTATCAGTCTTGAGGAATTGATTCGGACTCAAGCCTGAGCGACGCAAGCATAAGCGCGCGCATTTATGCTCGGGCAACTTGAGATTCTGTGTGGTTTAAACCCGTTACCCAACGACTCCACCAAAAGCACAACCGTTATATTGTGAGTATACCGCCGCGTGCTTTTGTCGCGCATGCAAGAAGGAATTGGGAGGTTCATTGTAAAACGAAACGATGGAAGAAGAAAGTGAACGTGACTGTGTGGCTGGCGCAAGAAGGGGAGGGGGGGGGTAGGGGGAGAACAGCGCAAAAGGGAAATCCCCCTTACTTTTTCCTTCCTTCCGATCCCCCACAACTTTCGACGCTTGCCACGCAGGCTAGAAGAAAGTTGAACGTCAAGACAAAGTTCTTTCCTCGTCTAATTTCAAAATTGTTAACACTCATGAGCGTGGCGTTCGAGAGGCGTCTGAAAGTTAACATTGCCTTCACTTCCGTTCCGTTGTTCTGGTTTGTACGAGAACATAGAGTCTGCTCCCGTTTTTGTTTCCGTCTTTTGGATCCGACAAGTATACCTTAACGCCCACCCTTAACACACATCGTTACTGAATATAAGTATACAGCACTGGGCGCTAGTTGGAGTATTTGAGGTAATATTATCTTTTGTCTAATCCAACAGGGACCTCAAATGCCGACCGCGCAGCTGCCGGCGCCGGGCAACTGGCCAAGTGTTCAAACTCCAGGACCGTTCTACCAAGTTGCGTGGCAACCGCAACCGACAGAAACGGTTTACTGGGTTCCCGCGCAATATTTTTATTATTGAATATATGCATATTATATGACAAGTAACGGTATCGTTTAGAGGTGATGATATCAAATAGGAAGTTGCAGAGGCGCACAAAAAAGGTGTACGCAGCAAAGGTCAATGACGTAGAACAGTTAATTGATCACATGTGGCTAAAGCTAAGAAATATGTAGTTAGCATTGTATATAGAAATATCATATAGTAGTAATTAGTGTAAAATTTAAGTGTTTTTAAAACGCTCTACGTGTTAAAGTGGTAAAGAATCTCGCGGCTACTTGTGACCAGTTTTTATAGCATGGCTACAAGCAGATGCAACTTTACCGTACGTGAGTGCTAATGAGACTATTAGGTTTTTATTAGGTGATTTTTTCTTGGTAGCAAGATCAAACATGCAACAAAAGAACAATAGCTAGACTACCATTAACGAAAGGATATCTGTTTTCTTGTGGTTTGTTTCTGAACGAAAATGTACACGTTCCGTCAAGGCCCGTTTTGCAGGGGATTTTTGTGCAGTTTTCGCAACTACTTAAGCGGCGATTTTATTGCCATTTTCCGGTCTTTTGAACGGCGGACCTTAAGTAATTTGCCTTTAAAAAGTAGGAGTGAAAAACGGTCTGAAGCCAAATTCAGTCTGATTGAGCTTCAGAATCGGATTCTGTTGTTGCAATCAAATAATAAATTATCAACCATTACCAAAACAGTCAGAACTGGCCCACCAGAAAGAACTTAGGCTTTTTTTTCGATAGTTTCACTAGAACCCCAGCAATCAGTGCTGTACCCAGACCTTAGAAAAAGAGCAATCTGACTGGACAGATCTCCTCATCGCTCGGAACGTTTCGCAGGAAAGACGTCAACAACAACAACAACAACAATCGTTATTGTGCTGTTGATACGTCTACGCCACAGCGACAGAAATTCCATAGTGATGACGTTAAATCTGTCCCGGCGGCCGGAATCTGGTCAGGAACTCTGATTGGACGTCGTATAGTAGTTACATTGTTTTAGCTGTTGTATACGAATGACTACGAAAAACAGAGGGCAAGGGCAAATGTAAACGCGATGAATCTACTACAAAATAGTCTATATTCTTGGAACATATCGGGCTTTTTTAGAAGAAACATTCGAGTTTTGCTGGGGCTTGTGCGAAGAAGAACATAAAACGTTACCATAATCAAATCGACCAGGAGAAACTGATAAAATGAGACAAATTTATATTTCGAACCGCGGAACTACCGAATTAATTATGAAAACATTTATTTACGTCCTCAGTATTGAATTTCTGTCGCTCAGGCGCAGACCTCTCTCCTGCGAAACGCCCCTAGCGGCGAGGAGTGAGGAGACATGGCTGTACTCGCAGGCTAGGAGAGACCTGATTAAAGTCGGTATTTTCTTTAGCAATGGGCTGGTCTGGCGGGCCAATTCTGACCAGAATGGAAATCGCCCTAAGATAAGCTTCCCCCTAAACAGAACAGAAAAACGAAATTATGATCGGATAATTCCGGATTTAGATTGGTTGAAAAGAACAGGCCATCTATACCATAATCCTTTCCGAATACTTCCGGCTATATCTGTGTAAGGACCTTTAATGGCCAGCTGTATCCGATTGGTGTGAAAGATGATAATCAGACTCAAGAGGGGATAAAGGGGACAGAGAAGGCATCCCCCATACACACACTATTCCATAGGTAATTCGTCTCGAGTTATTTTTAGAATCGGGATAAAGTTACCTCGCGCGCTGCGTGGATGTTTCGTGGAGGTTTCGCATGACTA